GACAACTTCCAGTCCCAGAGATGGAAGAAGTTAACAGAAGAGAGACACAATTTTATATTCAAAATTATGAAAATAATGAGTTCTCCTGTAGAAGCCGCAGCTAAGACCGTCAGGGTGGAATGTCATTTGAATAAAAGCCCTCAGGAGATAAGAGTCAGATATTTCAGGAAAAGAAGGAATTAGCACAGAGTAACAAGGAACACAGGCAAACATTAAGAAAATCAAGGGAATGGGAAATAGCAGGTTCCCTGGGAATATAATCTATAAGGAAAAGGAGTACAGGAGAGCCGGATGTTATTAAGAAGAAGTGTATGTACAACTGTAAGTAGAATTTTACAAACCCAGTTTCTTAATTTAATCACAAAATTAAGAATTATTAAAAATATTATTTATAACAGTAATTAAATTCAAAACATAAAAATATATGATTCTTGTGTGGTCAGGAGCAATATGGTACAACAAATTCTTCCTGAACTGACAATCAGAAACTTCATGCAAATAAATGGTGACAACAAATTTACAGCGATAACTATATATCATTAAAGGTGAAATAAAGAAACAGCATAAGCATTTTGAAACAAAACACATCCATGAGATAAAACTAGAAAGAAACAGTAACAAAAAAGGTTACTCAAATAAACCACAGGTAAGACAACAGGATTTTTGAAAGATGACGGAAGCTCTTTTCTCAATAAGAATGAAGGAAGAACCACTTAAGCTATGTTTAGATACATTACATGTAAAGCCTGCAAACTGCTAGCAAAAACCTTCAACATCTTGCGGGGAACACGAGAGCAGTAAGAGGACTGCAAAGAAGAGCAAACCTACCTGGTCTTTCTAGGAAAAGGGTATAAACACATAAAGATGACAATATTCACAGTGATCAAATGACTAAATAAACAATACATGTAAAACCTTGAAGGATAAAAAGATAAAACCAGCATTGATTTCTTAAGGATAACTCATGCCAAATATTGAATTCTTTCATGGAATAACTGGACTGATTGCTCAGAGAAAAACATATGCTACAGATTAATATTAGTACAACTTCTGACGCTACACCAATAATGCATTGCTTTTAAGAAAAGAGCAATGTGGTCTAGCTTAAATTGACACAGGAGCTTGGTTCAGAAACTGCGGTCGGGATTCTGCAGTAATCTATATCAGTCTGTCAGTCTGGTTCTAGTCCTGTCTTCATTTTTTTATTTCAACAGCTCTGATGTATGTTTGCCAATTTGTTACGGGTATTTTATTCAATACTTAGAACATTAATAAAAATAAACCACCCATAATTAGGTTAAATTTATGAAAATTATATTTTAAATTATATATAATTATATAACATTATACATTTTAAGATTTTTTTTCCCCCTTCCTCACTTTTGTGTTCACCTCCCCTTGCACAGTACCCCACCTCAACCTGCATACCCAAACTTATGTTCCCTTCTGGAGGACATGAAAATCACTGTCATATCACTAAGTATTTCATTTCTGCTTTCTCTGTATTTCATTTTCTTTGTTTCAGTAGTAATACTATTTAGTCTGTTTTCAGGCTAATACACAGTAACCTGAGGTGAGCACCTGGTAAGAACTACGCAAAAATTAAGACTTCAGGTCATGATCTATTATTTAGTTTCCCCAGCCACCACTGTACACTCCCTAACTAAATAAAAGTTAATTTCTCTGTAAATATTTAATAACCTTTTTTTCTTTCAAAAGTAAACTCAATCAGCACTTGTTGATTGCACTCTTCAATGCTGAATTCACTTCTTCAATGTAAATTTCATATCAGAAAGACACATATTTTTCTTGTATTGAATAAACATGCAATGAAGGGAGATCCAAGTTCATTGAGGAATATATGAAGGCAATGGCATAACAAAGAAAAGTGGCATTTTCAAAACCAACAGTTCAGAAAAAGAGACAATGATTGTTCTCAAATTATTGCATTTTCTGAAAATAATGGGAGCAAAAGAGGCAAGCCACATCCTTAAAATGTAAGCTGCAAGGATTTTCAAAAAAGCAACAGACAGTAATTAAGCTAAATGCCTAATCAGCCACTTAATATTTCTGTCTTTCCAGTGGTCTAGACTACACAACGTATTTTGTAAACCTTAAATAGAATATATCAAACTGATGCTATACAGTCAGCCTTTCCTCTCTCCCTCAGAGAGGGCAGAGGTTTCAGATCTGCTGAGGAAAGGAAACCCTCCCGGGTGAAGCCGTAATTTCTTTAGCATGCAGGTACAGGCAGGTAATAAAGGTGGTCTCCGTAGCCTGGACTACAGCCTGCTTACTATTCTGATGAGGAAACAAGGAACAACATTTCACCATCTTGTTTCTTCAGCACAAACTAAGAGAAAAACATTCCAAGATGAACAACTCTCCCCTGAGGAGGTTTGCATTTAATTGTTAACTCAGTATACAGTGCTTCCTTGCAACTGCTGCAATGCCAACCTTGTTACTGTCCTCAGCAGACTGAAGGATGAAGGCAAAAAAATCCTTAACTACAGAAAAGGAGGACAAATGTTTTTGTGTCTCTGAAACATGTCTAAAAATTTAGTTTCAGTGAATACCAGGCCAATAAGCTACTTGTAAATGAACATCTCTTTGCTGCTATTTTTTTTGCTATTTTACTTTTCATTAAAAAGAAAAAATCCATCTAAATGCAGTTGAATATCATAAAGCTCTTTATATTTTAAAGCACTTTGGAACAATTATTTTGAAGGAAGCCCTTGACAGTTAAATGACTCAGTTAAATGAATGTTATAGAAGATACATAATGATTTTTAGTGAAATATTGAATTTAACCACAAACAAGGAAAAGCAGGCATAAGCAACCGGAGTGTATTTAAATAGTAATGCCTTACTTGAGAGTTCAATGGATTTTGTATGTTCTAACAATGAAGCTATTGGCTAGACAGACCAAGCTGAGATTTCTCGTATTTTTTTTCCTTCATGTCTATGTTTGGTTTTCAGCTGTATGAAATGTTTCTCTTTCTTTTTTAAAATTTAGAAAACCAATTTTTTTTAATTTTTTTTTTTTATTGCTTGCAGCTACTGATGCCATCCCTGAGCTACATTTTATTGTGACCATGTAATGGTGAAAACTGCATTCCTTAGCTTAATTATTCCAGCTTGTTTTACTGATGATGCTCAGGAACTGAATGAAAAAAAAAAAACCAACCCCAAAACAAACAAACAACAAACCAGCAAAAAATCTGGTGTTCCTGGGGAGCCAGATATCAGAGTTTTGAATGACACCAAAACTCCTGTTGAAGTTAATGGGAAGCTTTTGTGAGTGACACAAGCAGGACTGGGCCTACACAGTACAGATTTATTTATCCTAGAATATTGTCCAGTTAACTCTAATATCTTTACATGATTTCTCATTACCATATTAAAAAACAGTTTTAAGTAACATTACAGTTTGCTTTCCAAAATGATTTTTAGTAGTAGTAGTATTGTTGTGCTTCAGCACAAGAATGAGGCACTGTTCTTCTGATGCTGAACCACCACTCATTAGAGGTTTTTATTTGCTGGGGAAAAAAAAAAAGAAATTAATGGAAAGCTATCCACTAGGAATGTATTTCCCTGTAGATTTAGAAAGGGAAAAGAAAAATCTCAATGCTGAAGAAATGAGGCTGAAAAACAGGGATCATACACACTCAGTTTCTCTGGTGAAATGAGGTGGAATGACTGTTTCACAGTAGAAAGGCCAGCTACACATATGAAGGCAATATTTATTGGGACCTACAGTCTGTCTAAAGCTTTCAACTCCCTAGTCTGATACTAAAAACAGAAAAAAAATATTGCTGGAGCAGTCAAAACTTGTTAGGAGTGGAAGATTCAGGTACAAAACAAATTGATGAAATAAAATCTTTGTTGGAGGATTAAACAAACAAGACAGCTGAAGCAGTATCAACTGCACAGCAGGGTCAGGTAATCAGTTTGCTCAACCCACTGGTTTTTAACCTCCTGATGGTTTTGCTTCCTTGCCCCAGATGTTGTCTTGCATCTCTTCTGGGTGCCCAGAGCAGCCCCAGTGTAGGCTTCCCTGCAGGAGAGAGCGCGGGGCCCTGGGAGGCTGCTCCTCGTAGCTTTGGGGAGTGGGCGTGAAGGTGTGCAAGCCCACTCAGGCCCCGCCACATGCTGTCTGCTCCCACGGCACCCCACACCACCCACGCTGACAGAAACAGCTCATCCAAGAAAAAGGGGGGTGGTTGGAAGGAAGGGAGGGAGGGAGGGAGGGAGGGAGGAAGGGCCCTTTTTCTTTTGTCAGACAGCTTTTTTGGGTGGTTTTCTATTTCAATGACTTTGATACATTTGTTTTCATTAAAAATTCATTTATGGTTCGAAGGGAGGAAGGGAGGAAGGGAGGAAGGGAGGAAGGGAGGAAGGGAGGAAGGGAGGAAGGGAGGAAGGAAGGAAGGAAAAAAAGAGAGCCACTTGGCTTGATGCTAGGAGTATTTACTCTAAGAAATTAGAGCTCTAAACACTCTTGGACTACAGACAGCAGCAGCCATACCGCTTACACACTCCACAGACCTCACTTTCCTTGGGTGATAAATGCTACAGAGACAACAGTATTTCATCTGAGCAAATAAGAAAATCCAGGAATTTCACATGCAAAGGATTAATTATTTCTCCTCATATGTGGGGACAGCTTCCATCCTACCCTTCTTGCTCCCTCCTCCTCCTCCTCCACCACCACAGAGTTCTGAAATAAACGTAATAGTGCGTTTTGCTTTAAAAGTCAGCCACGGTTCAGTGAACAGGCTGACATGCTATTTCATGTGAGAAAAGAAGCTGTGATTTAATCTCATTTTCACTAGCTAGATTCCTAGCTAATGTATCCGGGGATAGTTAAGCCTGCATTCACTGTAAGACATCTGCATTATATACCATTTGGCCCTCTGTATTTCTACAGAGCATAGGTGAAAAATTAGCTGGGTTTCTTGCACCTGCTGTGCAAGAGTGGTAAATCTCCATATACTCACAGATGTAGAAATATTCCCGGCCTGGCCTGAACTCAAATCCTAGTGAGAAGGGCGTGAAGAGCTGGAACTTTTCCGAGAACTTCAACGGTCCATTCGGGGAATGTGGCCGATTACACTCCCACCTCTTGAACCCTTTGGAGGTGTGATCACAGGAGCTGTAGCCATCAAAGTTCACCATGTACAGAACATAGCGTTCGGTCTTATCTTCTGGCACTGAGTCTTCATAGTGAGGGCAGAACACATCCAGGTAGTCATTGATGCAGACATCGATGTGGTAGTCGCCCCACTGGAATCTGAAATCACAGGAAGAGTTCAGACGTAAGCACAGTTGACTCAGGATGACCTTGTTGGAGGGTAACATTCTCATAAAAGGGGCATCACTAATGGCACTTCATTTCACTCCAGCTATGCATGTTCACTGCATGTTCACTCTCAGAAATAACCCTTACAATTCACCAGAGCTGTCAGAGACTGCTTATACAGGACCATGATCATATGACCTGCTGGATAAAGGTTTCGCTCTCTTCTCTTACAAAACGAGTCTGTTGCTAACGGACACCAAGTTATAGGTTATC